CAAACTGTAAATGAACGTATGCAAACGTGCGAATATTTGAAGTCCTATCAAACATATAGATTGTATACTAGTATAGAGCATTTTTTTTTTTAATAATGTTTTCATAACATTATTTTTTTAAATTTCTGTCTAGGTTATTACATTACTCATTACTTATATTACATGTGAGGTGGAATGATAAATAATCAAATTGTTATGACGAGTTTTGCCGCATTCGCAGTTTATTATTGTTTTTTAAGTATTTTTTAAGAAAGAAACATTTATTATGATTATTACTTTAGACTTTTCAACGATTATTTAAATATTTTCTAGTGGTTACCGGTAACTATTTTTTACTAAGTATAATAAAGTAGGATACTAATAATAAATTTACAGTAACAAGTCACACTTTCATTGATGAGTTGCATAACCTAAGGTTACACTTTATAAATCTGGTACCTTAAAGGTGCGACTATAGACAATTTTGATTTATATAACATGTAGTTATAAGTTATTGAGTTCCCGAGCCTTTTGTCCCGGAGAAAAATCAAACAATAAGCTATAATATTATAATATGAGGTCTAGTTAAGCAGAACATTTTTATTCTATTTTCTGTAGCTCAGCGTAGCAACGACGGTGAAGAAATTATTATCATAATTACTATCTTGGAATAAAATAATGTTATTATTCACTAATGTGCAATCAAAAGTACGAAGTTTTTTTATTCAGGCCATATTTGTTCTAAATGTCTTCAGTCTACTTAAAATACTTAAATAGATATGTGTGCAAAGGAAAAATATGAAACCTAGAAAATTTTTAAGATTTTATTTACTTTTTTTAATTTTTATGTTTAAAGAATTTAATAGAAAAAATACAATTTAATAAAAACTAGAAAACTTGTTGTTCGAATTAAATACATTTTAGCAACTGACAAATATTCAATAACTAAACGAGACTTTTATTTATTAGTAAAGAATAATCTTTTTTTAATTTTTGTTGTTTTCATCGCGTTAAGGTAATAACATCGACGGTTACATTTATTTACCGACTGAATACTGGGCACGTTTCTTTGTGTGGAGTAAAAATTGTGCAAGTTGTGTCGGTGACCTTGGCGTGTTTAGCTGCTCGCATACAGCGAGAGAGCATCGTGGCGATCTTGTCATCCTACGACGTTGCCTCGTTCGAGGCCATCATTTCCTTCATCATACTCTACACACACACACACACTGTCGCCCAAACTGTATTATTTCTATATACTCATTCGCCTTGTACTTAAAATCGCCGTCGAACGCTGTCGTCTTTCTAATTTATTATGCGTCTTGTCTGTAGCCAAATGACGGAAAACAGCTTTGCTCTTGTTGTGACATAATATCGGTCCACGAAGGCCACTGCAACGTTTTCAATTATGGGCGTCACGAAATTGACACGTAAACAATAGACATTCTACATAAACATTCGTATTGTCATTTCGGTTAAAAAAGTCAATTTATCCAACAAGACCACAGCGGGTGGCGGGTCCGTTTTGAAAAAAGCTCACTGTCGCCCGAACAATTTTCTCCGCTTTTTCTGCCCACAACGCACACACTCGTCGACCTTGGCACTAACGAAACAAACATAATCGCCTTGCCGTGTGCGTTTATTAAATGGATGACTACGTCGGTGCAATTTGGCATTGGAAAAAAATAATCTAATAATAATAATAATAATAATTTACAACAGTGGGTACTACGGTGTTGGATCATCTAGATCCTTCGAAAACATTCTAAAAAAACGCATGTCGTATATTTACAATAGGTAAGCATCAAAACACACAGACTGTGGTAGGTAAGATGAAAAAAAAATACAGTCAAGCGTATTGTTTTTTAAGAAATAACGCAGAAAACGCTAACGTGTGTTTAGATAACAATTGTGATCGCACGCCGGTCCGTTTATAATTTTCGAATCCAATTTCATGAGAATTTGATTCTTCTGTTTGGAAAGTTGGTGTACTTCAAAGTTGATTCGATTGAACAAATTTTTGTCATACGCGTTTTTTTTCTTTCGTATTACATCGGTAAACAAAGCCATTAAAAACACGGAAACATGGTTTTAATAGTTAAAAGTTAATAACAAAAAGAGTAATTATTATTCTTATTATACAGTCTGGTAGAAATGCGTTTTAAATGTTGACAGATACCACCCAAATAATAACTGTCTGACGTAGTTATTTATAAATATTTTTTTAAAGGTTTTTTATCGAAACCAGAGGTATTCTTTTACGGATATAGTTCGGGCACATGATTTATCACTAGGTCATTCAACAGAAGCGATTTAAAACTCCATTTTGTGTAGAGGTGATAGACTTGGTGGTAGTGGTAGAATTTTCTTTTATCTTTATTGCCACATCGAAATCCTCCGGTACATCTAAGCGGATAAGTAGCCAAATAAAAAGTTAAAATAGCGACCGGTAGTCAATAACGCCAACTAAAACCTAGTGTGGATTTATTTTTCTAGAGGATACTAGTTCTATGGAATAACTTGTTTTTAACGCATCATTTGTTAAAAATGATTTCCTTCTCGGAAATTTATTTTGAAAGATAAGGTTGGGCGTGGATTCGATCAGGTTATAGTCGAATTCTCATACAGTCCAAGTTAAATTGTATATGTGAGGCTACGTTAAGTTGAGTCAGTTGAACATTATCGACGTTAACAGTAACATATTTAAAACTGTAGACTGCCTGCAAAGTTTAAGTTGAGGTTACAACATGACGAATTGTAAAGGTCTTCGTTCCGTCTGTCTGCCATAATGGAATTCATATTTGCGTGAACCGAGCAACGGAGGTCTTCAGACTTCTCAAGATCAGCTTTCCCGGTGGCTGCGCGGCGTATAATAGCAACACAAGTTGTATTATTCTGACGGTAGACTCGAGTGAGCGTATAGTGTATTATGTTGTCGATGGACCTTGAAATGATTGCCAAGAGGTTATCGTCGCCATATACAGAGAGTAATAATACCATACTTTGTAGCACCGTTTGCACTCTAACAAAATAACGCGCTAGCTTACATACACACATTCTTTCTCTCTCTGTTTTGCGCGTTTTTTATTTTATCTTGTCCAAACATTTCGTTTTTTTCTCTCGACCGACCGGAAGACCATTACAAAGAAAACAATCTCGCTATCGCACGTGTGTGACTTACATTATTTAACTTACGACCTCGGTGCCAATGTACTGACAACAAGTAAAGAAAACGATCACAACCGAAGTTGCCCGAAAAGTTCATAAGGCTTTTTTACTGTCCGTCGGCTTTGTGCGGCCGACGGTCAACGAGTAACTCTGTCGTGTTACATCTTGGGCCGTTTCAATGTCGACATTATTTTGGCATGTCCGTTCCGAGGATAGCCGGCTGCGATCGCGTTCCTCGACTCGACGTTTTGACATATTTTTTTTTCATAATTATAGTCCGAATCGTTTTTAAAGGCCTTCGAAGTCGTGATAATTCGTGTTGTAACGACCGCAGTGTTATTAAAACTCGGGCACGGTTTTATTTCCGCGGAACATGTAGTCATGTGCTGGCGCAATAGCCGCGTGTGCTGTGCGCTAGAATTAGGTCAATACGTTTACTACACAGCCGAGTGTGCGTGTGTGAGAGAGTATGATTAGATAGTAATATAGCTGTCATATGTAAATATAATATGATTATGTTGTACGCTGCGCGCGATTTGTTTTGTTCGTTGAAAAATTTGCCGTGAACGCACACCGACGATTCGTATACGGCTAGAGTTTTTACCAACTACTTTTCATCACTTTAGTTGTTTTTTATTACAGGTGCGTCTCACCGGTGAAAACGGTAGCGGCGGATATTTTTAACGCGTTCATTCGCCTCCTACATTTGTTGAAGCTAAAACACTCGATCAGATAATTGCAATAGGAAAGGACCCAGTGACCCTTGTTCAAAAACTGGCGGTCACATTTTTAACACACGTTCGGAGTGTAAAGTTACGTAAGCGCTCGCGTAATTTTACGCAGGAAAAGATGTTCGGAAGGGGGGGGGGGTTGGCGAAACACGATGTTCTGTTCGGTAATCGTGTGGAAAAAGTACCGGGCCATTTGCGGCCGAATTCTCTCTCAAGAACGTGTTCTCGCCTTGAGACCAAGAGGCGCTCTTAAGGTTACATAGTAGTCTCGAACGGAGGGGAAATACGCGTTATTTAATAGGAGTAACTTATCCGATCGAGAAACATGTTTCACGGAAAGTTTTTGAGGACGACCAACGGTGTGCGAAGGACTTCCCTACATTTAATGTGTTTCAGCCGCCGACAGCTCGCAATGCGCTTCCCCAAACCAGACGTCCGTTACATTGTCCATTCGTTTCATCTGTTTTGTTTATCCCCACCCGTCGCATAAGAACATTCGGAATTCGAACAGGTCGCCACGAATACACGCGTACACAAGGACACAGGTACGTGTAAAAAAAAAAAAAAAAAAAGGTACGACCTATTACACAGCGGCGGCGGAAACCGTATTCAAATATTCACTTTCGTTTTCTAAACCGTTCGACTACGACGCGAGGACAGCGTACCTGCCCTAATCTGGCGCATAAATTACCCCACCGATGGCCGTCCGAGCGATACCCAAATGTTTTGTTCGATAAATCGTTGGGCGTTTAAATTGTTGTTATTATTATAACACATAATAATTTATTACTCGCGCTATTATGACAGGATTAGACAGATACAATAATTAATATCCGTGCACTGTGGACACATAGTCTAGAATAGGCCAAATACAATGTGGTGACACATTGCACACTCCAAAGTTCCCCTACACGTTAAAAAAAGTCTTGGAACACTAACCATTATTACCGAGAGAAAAATTAGACTTCCATTAACTGCGTTCCGAATTTCTATTCACTATTATGTCACCGCAACTAGACTTCAGCGTCAGGTGTTTTTTAAAAAGAAAAGTTTCGATATTCTCTAGATTACATTTCCTATTTGTTCGAGTCGTCCTACACAATAATATTTTTAGGGTGTACTTACCGCGTACAACGGTAATCCAAAAAATGCTCGGACAAAGACGTTGTAAATCATTATTTTTGAAGTTCTGGTGAGCAGACGGGTACGGAGTGCGAACGCACGGCGGAAACGGAAAGAACCGAACGACACTTTTAGCGGGTCACACTGGGAAGTCAATGGCAAGAAAATCAACCGGCGCACCAGGAAAAAATAATTTAATTTTTTAATATCAATGCAAAAAACAACAATACAACAACCGGCTAAGTCACGAACACAGGGCGGCGGCGGAGGTAGTGGTCGTGATTCCGATCTTTTGTGGCCGAGGGTGTTGTTTACCCTCACGATCGGTTTCCCTGCCGAGACTCTAAGGTGTCATCGGAAGAAACGAGTGAAAAGGGCTGTCCGATGAATCGTGTGACGGCACCACTGCAAGTTGCTGGTGGTCAAGTAAAGCCCAAAAGCGTTCGATCGGCGAGTAAAGCAGCAGTTTACGCACTCCGTGCCCTGAACCAAGCGCCGCACACTTTCGCGTAAAACACACACACGACGGAGGCCGACGGTGTACCGCGCGCAGTGCCGCGGATATAATAATATTAAAAAATACGCGGTGCCACCGTACCTCTCCAAACTCGAAGCCGACGATGACGAGGCGGCGGTTATTTCGACATGCAACTGGTTCGGGCTAGTGCGCACGCGCAACAATACTGTGTACAGAACATTTCCTCCTTCTCTTCAACAAACACCTCCACTTCTTCCTGCTGTTGCTCCTCCACCGAGCACTTACACTCACACACGCGCGTATATTATACTCAATGGTATTACACAACATGTCCCGGTGTGCTTATGTGCGTGCGCTGCGGCTGCTCTTTTTCATAACGACGACGCGTCGACGATGACGACGTCAATGATGTGCGGGTGAGTAGCGGTGAGGTGGAAGTGGAGGTAACGGCGGTCCGGTTCTACTGTCTATTTCTTGTACAGACGCTCGAGAGGCCCCTTTCCCTTTCTACGAACGTCGCCACCACCGCTTCCCTATCGTTGTATAGTGTAGTGGTAAGAAAAATCATCATCCAGCACTTCTCAACTTTTACTAAATACTCATTTTTTATTTACTATTACAGTAAAACTATGCAACTAATAGGCTCCCTATTAGACCATTTCACATGGTAAAAAATTACGATGTTTTTTTTTTTGAAGGCAAATTGTGTATTTTAATAAAAATATTTTTGTCATTTTAATGGATACGGGAAACGAAAACGACTATTCTTGTTTATGTTACTTCCCCTCGGCATTTCTTTAAAAATAATAAAGCGTAATATTAAGTTTGACTGTATGTTAGTGGTTTATATATTTTTCATTTTTTTAAAATCCTTCTTTATGTCACGTTTGGAATGTTATTTTCCTTGAGACATTTATAGAATTCACTTCTTCGTCGTTGGCAAGTTTATTAAAAAGAAAACTTTAGTTATATTTTAATCATAGAAATGTCTCGTGGGTGATAAAAAAGTTGTCATTTATAGTATGCTAAACACCTACGTTCCTTGAATAAGCGATTTTTTTAAACTATTAATATGATTTACTTGTAGGATAAGTTTTTAATCTTCCCCTTGTCTCGATTCGTTCATTAAGTGGGTGCAGCACTCCTTTTATGAATTTTTTTAATGGTTAATTAAAATTGATCGTGCTTTTAAACGTTATGTAGAATATACTTTGTTATAAAAGGAATCCAGCGATGAAGGTGATGCCTATGATGTAACGAAGCTTTTGAAGGTTTAATTTATTAACTTTGGTAGATTTTCAGTTGAAAAAATATGCAAAAACTTCTATTTTTCATCAAACAAAAAACGGTATTTGAGAAAAAACTGTTCGAGGGAACATAATACCGTTTTGAAAATTCCTTCGCTGTAAGCTATTTAGAATATTCGAGTAGCTTAAATACATTACTCATTTTCTATAGCGTTCGATGTGAAAATATACCCTAAAGATTATGAGTACTTGCATTTGCTACAGGCGGAAGGTCTTGAGAACTGCCGAATGCATTCCATCATACAATTAGTGAACATACTTTTGAAATCCACTCGACAAACTTGTCGATCGGTTGTGCATTCCTCAGCTGTGTTTGTATAAACGACAATAATTATATTATACAGACGTCCAACCACCGAGTAATTTATATTGACCTGAAATAGTGTACGAGCCCTGTAATTATATTTTGTCCCATCAAAACAAGTTGTTGAAAATGTCGAGTAATCTGTGAGGTTTATTAGTATGAAACGATATTATTAAGGAATAATAGTTGAGCATAATAATATCCTATCGTATTTGTCTAAGAATGGTGTCGTAACCGAGAGCAAAAAAATTGGAGGTGCAGAAATTATTTGAAACTAAGGGCACAAGGTCAAAATACTATAGTTGTGAAATTAAATGAGACATAATATTATCTCGGCTATTTGAATAATGATCTAGTTTTGCTAATTAAAACAATGACCTGCAAAGTTTTTGTTGAAAGTAAAATTCTTCTGTCAACTATGAAGAGCACTCAATGACTTTTAAAATCTTAATGTCTGAAATTTTTTAAAATACGCCCAAGTTTAAGATTAAAAAGATTTTCACCTGTTTTCTAAAAAGTTTAACGTAAATGTAATGTCGCCATTATCACGCCATTCAAGAACAGTTATTTTTGAGAGTTTAATTAGCTAACGTTCGTGATAAGCTTCAATCGCAGACACTACAGCATTAATACAAAAATGACCTAACTGAAATGTCTGTCATTAAGTTTTTTGTAAACACATTACTTATTTTTCACTAAACAATTTCATCTCAAATCGCATTCTCGTTAAAAAATAATATTAAACCTTTTACATTATGTAACGGTGCTAAATTGTCATTAATTTATCACTTTTTAAAGGTTTAGACCCTTTTCAAATTTACACCTTCTGTTTAAACATAATTTTCTTACGGCGCAAAACAAACGTCCGAACTTGGAAAGGTTATATGACTTTTTCTGAGTAAGTTAATAAAACACGTTGTAAATTGTAACACCATTTCGTACTCGGAGGTTAAGGCGCAATATAAAGGGATTATTGGACGGTTTGTACATTTTATCTACAAAACAAATGTCGGTGTGAATAAACACAAGTAAAAGATTGCGTCTTTTGGTGAAAATTGCCTTTTCGCTGGCACATAAAACGTTCGAACGGTCCGAAACGGATAATTTCTCCTTTAAGAAACACAAATTCTTTGCTACCTTGTCCGTCTTTCTTGCTTGTAATATAAATGCTATTCGTTTTTTTTCTAATACATTTCTTCTATGTTGTAAAAGAGAAAATTAATGATTATACTACAAACGATACTTATTTTTATTTTTTAACCTTATATATTAATGAAATCTTTTTTGTTTTTAGCTACTGTTAATTATATGTGATCCATTGGATTTGGTTTAGTGAGACTTGCAGAAAGAAATTAAAGCGTTGTCTCTGCAAATACAACCATATGATATTTAGTTTTTTTATTTCAAGTATTTTTTTATTAGCATTTCTCGTGTATGCTCAAATTTTTTATGGTATAAAGTTATTTTATTCTTTTTTTTATAAATGTTTAATACATCTGAAACTCAAATATATTACTTGATATGAAATAATAATTTTAACTTACAGTCATATATTCAATAAAGCTATTGATAAATTTATTTACATAAAAGTATCTTACGGAAATTTTTAAAAGACGATTACGTTATTAACATATACATTTTCTTTTGTTCTCTATAGGTTTTTTTAATCAAAGATCACAGATATGTATAGTTAGTGATAAAAAAAAATGGTCAAATCGTAATGGAATCATGTTACAGTTGGATAAAAATCCTCTACCGTATGTTCATAGTTCTTAATATGAAAATCAGTGAACTATACTAAGTCTAAACCCTAAGGGTAGACATTATAATATTATAGAGTTAGACCAGAGTGGAGTGTAATATTAGTTTACTTTGTGAACGAGGAGTAATCGTCTCTTTTCTGGATTTCAACCATTCCATAAAAAGATGTTCTTTTTTTTGAGCCGTTGAAAATTTAATGGCGCAATATACTCTAACGTGAAAAGGAAAAAATTATATAATAGTATTTTATACCTACTAAATAAAGAAAATCGTTAAAAATAACCTATCCGATAAAAAAGAATACGTCTTAGGTTATAAATTATTTAACGCAAGTTAAGTACACAACCTATCAGTATACGTAAATTATTATTCAATTTATGTAAAATATAAACCATATAATGTGAATTAAATCTAACAAATTTCCTGTCCTAATGATTACACTAGACCATATGTATCGTAAACAGTCTTACATGTAAAACAAACGTTTCAGTCGACTGACTTGCCTATTTTAAATTATTACATTGTATAAAAAACGTAACTGTATTGACATTTACATATGAAAATTTAAGAAAAATTTTAATAGTACAAGGAATGTTTTAACAATCCATACATTGATGTAATACATTGATGTTGACAAACAGAAGTTCATTTTTAACGAAAATAAATGAAAGGAGTACTGAGATAGTGTATTTAAATAATTTCTTTGGCATTTCAACGCGCTTCAATATAAGGCCCTGGTACTCGTACAAACGGCCGTCAAAGGTATATTTGGTGGTCTTTGTTATTAGAAATGGCAACTTGTTGATAGCAAAATGTGCACGAAACACGCAAGTAAAAAAACAAGAAAAAAATACTAAACTGAACTAGAAATTTTTTTTATTTATTTTTATTCAATTTGGTAGTTGTTGCTCTTTATCATGCAACATACTTAATAAAAACTAGTGGTATGATAGGCTCAGGTGTTTTCTTTATTGAAAGTGTGTTTAAATAGACGGAAACAGATTGTGTACATTCAACAATAGTAATTGTTAAGTTATCAAAACGGAAAAAATGATAAATCAATCTTTTCAGGTTTTATAACACTAGTTTATGGCTCTTAGTATCCAAATATAAGTTACAATTATTGATATAATCGTACGTCAGTTTAGCCTAACCATTGACACGAATATACATACACAAATTTATAAAATATTTTATATTTAGACGTTTTGGCTTTTCCCGAGTCCTCCCATCGCATTGCTATTAGTCATCATATTCCCTTAAACTAGGGGGCCGCTTAAGGGGTAGGCCTCTGTGCTTGTCAACACAGTTCAGTTAAAAAGTAGAAGACTAAAAGACTAAGAGGTGATCTAGTTAGTTACCAGCACAACTACTGTTTTTCTATGCCGACTAAAGTACGGTTCAGCCTAAAGACTAACCTATTTGCACATTAGTTATTAGAACCAACTAAAGTACTAGTGCTCCGAAGAGCTGCACGTGCACAAATTAATAATAATAATAGGATAAAAATAACTTGTATAAATCACAAGTCTTTAAAATGCTTACGGACAATTGTGTAACACATACAAAAAAAAATATAATGCAAAAATTAACGTTTAGGTATACCCTCGACGGAGACGTTCATAATAGTTGTTTTATAATTTTTTACTCCTTTATATATTATCTAATCCCTTCTCATACTGTTTGCATTATTTGCTGATCCTGCCATTTTTACAATTTGATGATTCTTTTTTCCGCGAATGTTAGTTTAAATATACATATTTATAATTATTCTAAAATTTTAAGGCTTT